AAAAATGGAGGATCCTCATCAAATCCCTAACAATCACAAGAGCTGCAAGGATTTCACCGAACAAATCAACTGCTCGAAAATTACAAATGTGATTCGATACCACATTATCAATATCGACAAGAAGAACTCAACCCCGAGCAAATATTATTCGTATTTTTCACCTTTACACCCACAAACGAACCAATTTCAAACGTCACAAACTCACTGTATAGTCCTCGTCAACTTACACTTCGAAATAAACATCGTGTCCGAATAATTCAAACTGCACAGCTTCAAAAGCTCCGCGGCCCGTTGCTTGATAACGGGCCCACATCCACTTTGGATCACAAGAAGAAGCTTCGCAGCAAGGCCCGCCTCAACTGCCACAGACGAGCACTCCTCAGGCGAAAGCTTGCACACAGAAAGCAAAACCGAGAGCGTGCTTCCCGTGCAAACTTCCGAAACTCTCATTATTAACCTAACCATTATCGGTATAGTATTCGAACAATCCTTCAAAGCCCGTTTTCCCTCGGGCTCGGAAGATAGTGTCTCCAAAACCGAGACTGCCAATTCAAGACAATCTTGATTCAAAACGGGTATCAAATCCAACAGCTGCGAAACGGCCCCAATACTCACAACCAAGATTCGGGCCTGTTTATGCGCGCAAATCGACTTCAAAAGCCCAAGGCCCGGATAATGCCCATTTGGGTGCCTCACGAGTCTCATTAGTGCAACTAAAATGCTGTGGCCCGAAACAATCTCGGCCCGAAAATCCTTCTCTTCCATCAAAGTCTCAATTAAACGGACGCAGTTTATCTTCGTCTCGACAGAGCCCTCGTTCAAGATATCGACTAGTGAAGATATTTTCGCGGGCTGCATTAGGATCGATTTAGATTCCGGGCTAAGATTCAAATTAACGAGAATCGACACGACTTGGGACCCAACTGAGTAAGAAGTGAATGGGCCGAGTAAAGACGAGAGGAGGCCCAATCCGCCTTGTTCGACTATTGTTTTCCGAGCGGTAGGATGATTTGACGCGAGCTGGCGGAGCTCGTTTAGGGTTTTGACTCTCGACTGGCCTTTGACTTTTTTGAGAGTGGCGAGAAGTTCGGAGGCTCGGCCCTGAGCGTCTTCGGACTTTTTTTTCATCTGGAGGTATTTTTGGGAGAACCAAGTGTGGGTGAGGTGGTATAAGGTCGTGTTTGGGGTGAGTGTATCGTCCCAAAGCTCTTGCATTGTGGTGGGGCAAGTGTAGTGGCCTAAGCCGAGCCACCGGAGAATGTTGGGCCGCTCGTAAGTTTGGCCGGTGCAGAGAGTGACTGGGTCTTGCATGGGCTCGAGAGAGATCGGGCAGATGAAAACAGAGGGGATTTCGGGTAAATTCAGCTCGGCGATCATTTTTTTCAGATCCAATTTCTCGCCGCCGCGGCCGCCGCCGGCGGCGGCAGGGGCGGCGGAGTAAACCTCGCCGCCCAAGACTCCATCTTTAACGGCGGTGTCGAAATCTAGAATGTCCGCACGGCCCTCAACCCCAACAATGGGGTCTTTTCTGGTAGATTGAAACATGGGCATCTTGAAAACCCTAATTTACAGAGGATAAATACACCAGGGAAAAAAAAGGGCCAAATTGACAATCAAACACAAAAACCCAGCAGCTACGAAAAGACTCTCCCCAGTAATTTTACTACTACAATAGCCTTTGGGGAAAGCAGCACATTGAGTCGAGAAAATATGATGATGAAAAGAGATAAATGGAGGAACGAAAATTTCCTCAAAGTATCTCACTTTCATTGACATTAACAAGCAATAATGCGCCTTTCAAAAGGGCACATCTTCTACTTTCCTCCCTCTCTCCTCTTTTTCTCTCTTTTTTCACTTTATTTGATTTTCTCTCTCCCTGGTCAAAAAACTCACAGCCATCATTCACCTCAGCACATTATAGAGCATTCACAAACAAGCCTCTTGCCAAAAATCAAATCTTTCTTCCTTTTAGCATTCAAGAGTAAGGAAAAGGGAAAGAGTTTCAATTATACCAAATCAAATAAAATCTTGACAAGATACAGATCTAGAAAAACAAAAGGGTGTCCAAATTCGAGAATTGGGATTAAGGAAAATTGAAGAAATAAACCGAACCAAATCGAAAAAACCTGTGTAAACGAGGATTCAAAGGCAATTCATCAAAGGTGAAAGAGGAGAGAGGATAGGAAAATGAAAGGGAAAGAGCATCAACAGCACTTGTGCTGGACTCTTCTTTACTTTTCCCTTTGATTTTTGGGCCCAGACCCACTTGTGCATAGCAAATTAAGAAATTAATATATTTAAGTTTTTATTTTTTTTATTTCTTTACTGTGTAAGAAAATAATAGGGAAAGAAAGGTAGAGTAATATTAATATATTATCCCCTCGAATCAGAAACTGAAAAAATCGAGTCAAAATCATGTATTTCGATGCAATGCAGTTTGATTATTTTGAGTGTGGTGATTTTTGTTTCTTTTATTCAAATTTTTTTTTCTGCATTGTGGTACAATTCGGTAATTGTTTTTATATAAATTTGAATTTTGCTTTCCCTTTAGGTTTGGTGTGATATTGTATTGAACTACATTAAATTGAATCAAATTGAATATAAATTATACAGAAAACTCAAGACAGACAGAAAAATTGAACCCAATCATGCGCTTCGGTGCTATCTAGTTCAATTACTTCACAAATTTAGTTTTTTATTTTTATTTTTTTGTTCTGTGATTTTGCACACAACAGCACCAAGATGAATATAAATATATAGAAAACCGAAGAAAAACAGGATAAAGAAAAAACTTGAATCAAATCATGCATTTCGATATTGTTCAATTCTTCAACTCGATTAGTTTTGTGTGAAATAATTAGGCTCGATTTTGATTTTGATTTTGATTTTTTTCTGTATTGCGGAAAGTTCAGTCATTTTATTAACACGCGGTTTTTTTTTTAACTGCTGAGCTCGATTCTGAATTTCTTCAGCGTTAATAACAGTGTAAATAGTTTCGAAATTAGCATTAAAAATACTTATTTTGTTTTAGAAATAACGGAAAAGTAGCGCTATTGCGCTTGACCGCCGTGGTGGTGTTGGTGTTGCGTTGACTGTACTCCTCGGCCTTTTCCCGTGCGGCTTTGACTGCTTTTGATATCTGAACCAATCACCAGCTGACACGTAACATGCCTAACATCTAGTAATTAATAATTATAGTAAAGTAGTCTCAACTATGAGATTTAGTGCATTAAACTATTTTGATCTCGTTACGTTACATCTACAATGCTTTGAGTTTATTGACAAAAAATTAAATGTCACATACAAAAATAGATTCAGCCTAAAAAATTATGTTCTTCAATGCAAGAGAAAATGGACTAAGTCTTGGTGATGTGACAGCAAAAAAAACGGTCTCTACTTTTAAATCTATTTTAGACCCAAATAGAGACCCGGTCTCTTTACATTAATGTGAAATACTTAACTTTTGTATCATTTTATTCATGTCATTTAAGACTTAGGTCTATTTACATGTCATATAAACTGAATTAGACCCAAAGCATTGTGCATGCTCTTAGGGGTGCGTTTAGATTGTGATATTTGAGATTTATAAGCTTGTTCGGCATAACAATTAAATAATTATATTTTTTAATAAATATGTATACTTTTAAATATAAATGTCATACTTTAAAAAATAACATAAATAAAAGTATATCATAACATAAGAATGTATTAAAAAAAGAAAAAGTATGATGAGTCAACTGCTAACTGCTAATTAGGGTGTGATTAGATATAGATTTGATTTATTTTTTTGGTTAACTATGGTTAATATTAAAAGTGGTAAGATTAAATTTGAATAGAATTTTTAGTTTGTATTAAAATAAAATAATTAAAGTTGATTAGATATAAAAGTTGAATAAATGTGATTGGAAATAGATGAATAGTGAATTAAAATTGATGTGATGTATAAAAATGATTGTTTAATATTATTTAATTATATTGAAAATATGGTTGAACTAAAGTTGAATTAAAAAAAAATGGGTGAGTTGAAAATGGTTGGCTATTTCTAGGCAAATCCATATCCAATCACCCTCTATATAGTATATACGGTCTCATGTAATTTGTATGGTAGATTGAATTAGTTGTATTGATCAGTAAATTGACTTATTATTAGATTGTTAGTAAATAATTAATTGTTTGATAAGAAACAACTATTTCGATATCTACGTATATATAATTGCTGACAAGTTTCAATAAATTTTATTCAGCCAACAATTAAAAAAATATGACTTCATTTAATAAAAATCTTTGTGACCAACATTCAAATGACAATTACACAAGTAAAACCTTATTAATATTATTAATTTTTTATTCTGTAAAAGTTTTACAAGATTTTAGATTTTTCGAATATACAATATTAAATTATTTTACAGCTAATATTCCTATTTTGTATTGTGGATATACAATTAAAAATAAATAAAAACTGAGATATGGAAGTTAAATAATTTTTATTTATATTATACATTTACATATAGTTAAAATTTTATAATGTAATACACATTTTATCTAAATTAAATTTTTAAATATCATATACGTACATATAATGCATAAATTTTTGTTTCCCTGTGCATGTGAACATTATCGAATACTAGTGTTCTTCATTAGAGAATTAAATTAGAGATTGTCATGAATCAACCATCAAATTCACCACACATTGATTACCAAACAAGGCATACTGTTCTCATGGCTTTTATTTGAATTGCACTGGAAAATAATATTTGAATATATAGATTGTGAAATTTGAGATATATTATAATGCTGTGATCCGGTTTGAGATTGGCTATTAGTTTAATTTAAAAGAGATTTTTTCAATGATTATTCGATTAGAAAGTAATACTGGTGTAATGCAAAATGTACTACTCCCTCCATTTTGAAATATAAGGCGTATAAAGATTTCTCAATTTATTTGAAATATAAGGCGCGCTCAAAAATCAAGACAAATTTTTGCATTTTTTTCTAAATATACCCTCATTGTGTTGAAATTAAGGAAGTGTGAAGTGGTTGTGATTAGAGTAAATAAGGTTAATTTAGTCAATTTATTCATTAATTAATATCTCCTTAAATGCCTTATATTTTAAAATGAAGGGAATACAAATCTACAATAAATACAAATGACGGAACGTCACAATCCACAAAAATCAATGCAAATATACAATAGGAAAAATAGATGAAAGATAATTAAATTGAAAATCATTGTTACACTCGTATACTAAGGTCATGTTTGTTTATGAAAAATTTTTAAAAAAATTTCAACATTTTAACTCAACCACTTTTTTTAACTTAACTTTAACTCAACTCCGCTATCATTAATATTATTAATATAATTAAATAATATCAATCAATCATTCACATACACCACATCAACCTTAATTCACTATTTATCTACTCACATTATTTTAACTAATCAGCACTTCAATCATCTCTCTCCTACTTTTACATCAAATCAATTTTAATTATTTTATTTTAAATATTATTTTAATATACCCACTAACAACTAACCATACCACTTTTTTTAAATTTAACCAAACCAAACTAAAAAATCCAAACAAAATCAAAAAATTTCATAAACAAACATGCTCTAATACATTATCACAATTTATGTGTTATAAACACTGCAATTCACATTGAATGGCTACCTAAACAAATGCAATGAAACTACATAAATGACAAAAATAAAATAGAAATGAAAAATTAAATAATGAGGGTAAATGTACATGGTGACCGGCTGACCAGGAACAATGGGAAAGAACCGCGCGCCCACACGTGCGAGGCATGTAAATTTATTGAATTCCCAAATTAAATGCCATTTATATCCCTATTTATATATGCACCAATTTCAATGTCATGTGCCATGGCATGCTTGACAATGTGCTTATTTATTTTCTTTATTAAATAAATCACATAAGTGATAAATTCCGTACCTAGTTACGAGCTTCAATGGTTTCATGCATTTTGCATGTATATATAGAGTGAGAATAATAAAGCATAAAAAAATATTTTAAAAAAGTAAGTGAGGATATAACTAATTTATGAAATAAAATTAAATAAATGCTTTCAGTAAAGTATAAACCCTGCGTACTTTTATAATGTGCAAGAATAAAAAAAAAATCTTATGGATTCAATATGTAATCAGTAGAGTATTCATCCGAGGATGGTGTACAATTGGATACTAAAAAAATATCCACCTAGCAAAAAATATATTAGTCAATCATTTGAATTTTTTGTTTCTCTTAATTTTATCAATATTTGTTTAAAATAATAATTAATCATTATAATTTTTTATTTTTATTTTTTGTAAAAATTTATAATTCAAATACTAACAACCTTTTAGTTATCAGTTACTAATATTAGTATACTGTTTTTTATACCTTGACTCCAATTTACATCTATCATTTTTTTTTTCTCATAAATTCTATGGAGTCATCTGATGTCTATCTTATGGAGTAATTCATAACTTTATAAACTGATATGTATTCAATGTGTATTTAATTCATGATACGTGTCAATACACTATT